CTCTCTCATTCTCTCTCTCTCAAATAAATAAATAAAATCTTTAAAAAAAAAAACAACAACTAGGAAATCTATAAAACGTGCTGTGTTTATACAATTATTTGCTATAAATACTTAAGCTTTTCTCTTTAGGACTAGTAAAAAAAAAAAAAAGGATAGCTTCATTTTTAAAAGCAATTTAAAATACGCAGAAGAAAGAAAATACTAACTCCATTATTGAAAGAATATCCAAGCAAAAATCACAGGAGATAAAAAAGCAAGGTGACCAACCACCTCACAAATTCTACTCCTTGAATCCCAACATCCTCCTTACGATTTTGAAGTTTAATATAATACGTTCCCAACATTGTTAATCACTTAACGATTTTATTATAATTTTCCATACCTGTGCTTTATGTAATTACATGTACCGCTCAGAGTCAAATCCTTGATCCAATAAAACAGCACACAAATAACACACACCTGTAACGGCAGCGGGTCATCCGTAATAAAGGAAATTTTGAAGTTACTGCAGATCAGCTTTCCCCACAGATCGTACTGACTTGTGTCCGTTGCAATGCATTTTCTCACAAAATTGACTTCATTTACGACAATTTCTCCTTTTAAAAAAGAAAAATATTGTGTGAGCTACAATTATACCATAAAATGTCTACAGTCACCGTGTGGCCTACAAGGACTACTTCATGGTGACAAGAGTAAGAACAAACCCTGGAGGCCCACCAGGTGCCAGGCACCACGGATGCTTTCATCCTCACAACAGCAAGGTGCTGCCCACCATTTGTGAGACACAGAAACTGAGGTCCGGAGAGCTGAGGGGTCTGAAATGGTTCAAACAGAAAGGCTCAAACTGAGTCTGCATTCTTTAGTGCTACGTGATACTGCCTCTCGTTATCTTTTACTGAAACGCATTCTGGAGAAGAGAGAAACTACTCTCTCTTCTTCAGAGTACTGCTTGAGGGGATATTTGTGTTTTATTAACATGTGACTTTACATCCCAAACCAATTTCTTTGATTCCTTTACTAAGTGATGAGAAACAGAGTTTGGGTTTAACCTCAAAATTAATACAATCTATTATTGGTAAATAGGGTTCCGGATGGTGAGCTAGGAAGACCCTGAACTCCTCTCCTCTCGTGGACGTACTGAGTCTATAGCTACATACAGACAATTTCCTCTTAAAAAAAAACCCTTAAGGCTAGCTGAGTGATGGCTACCCACTGGGCAAATGAGAACTAAACCATATGCAAGCGGGTAGGAGAGGCTGGGACATAATCTCACTATAAACCCCATCGCTGCATGGTGACCCACAACCAGCATGCAACTCAAAACCCAAAGGAGTGAAGGGTTCAAATGGTACATAAGGCATCCCAAGTTTTAACACATACCTTGAGAGACAAGCCCTCAAAACATGGAACTTTGAAAACCAATGAGGCTTGTGTCCCAAGACCCTACAGATCTGAGAAACTGCTCTTAAAAGGCTCAGACACTTAGACTCACCAACCCGGGGGCCCAAGTCGGAGGCAGTGATGGTGCCCAGACTTAAAGTGAAGGAGGCTTACCTGTGTATATTAAAGCACTGGCCTGAAGGACAGGTGTGTTATTTAACACATGTATCTAGGAGCCTGTTGGAACACTCTCTGGGGACCGAGACTAGTGGATACCACATTCACACACTCCCTCTGCTGTGCTCCAAAGCACCAGGATCTCTCAGAAGGGAGCTTTTACATACATCTATTACCCTGATTTTTGTGGCTGCCAACTAGGGAGCACCTCCTGATCACCTGGCTCTGAAGGCCAGGGGAGCTTCTGTTCTTTGTCCCTTGGGACTGTAATAATTGTGTCACCCAGAAAGGAGCTTGTACCCCTGCCTGGAGCTCTGATTTTTGTGCCTGCTGCCAGGGGACATCTCTCCATCATGTGGCTCTAGGAGGAGATTTTCACTTATAAGTCCCACAGGACTGTAACCACCAGAGAAAGAGTTCTTAAGCAGCTACCACCCCCAAGGTACAGCAAGAGGCAACAGACCCAGGAGCACAGTCCTTCTGTGAAGGAGGACCATTAGCTAAACATCACAACCGTGGCCTGAGGGGCAAGTTTCTAATGACACACACATCTAGGGTCTGACTGTAATCCTTTTGAGAAACCTCGGAGGGTGTGTGCTCTCTTTGTGCTCATGCTCTGCAGCACTCCAGGGCATCAGGGTCTCCTGGAGGGGCACTTTACGTGCCTCTCATGTCCTGGCTTTTATGTCTGGAGTCCTAGTTTTTGCACTGCTGCCCAGGGGACACCCCTTGATCATCTGGCTCTAGTGGCCCCCAGGGGGGTTTGCATTCTGGATACCATGACCCTATGGCAATGAGAGAGATGGTTCTTGGCAGGCAACCACCCCTAGGGTACTGCACAGACAGGGGACAGGCACCACCACCCCTGCCCCTCTCCCCAGTCTTTCCAAAGGAGGCCTCTCTGCTTATGCTAGAGCAGGCTTCAGGTCTGGCATACATTTAGTGGTCTAGAGAACTGCTGTCAAAGAAAGTGGGCTGTGGAGGCCATCTTGATGTTCTCCCTCTGCCTTTCACCAGCTTACTAGTATCACCCAGAAAAGAGCTCATACACTTGTCTGGAGCACTGATTTTTCTAACTTCTACCCAGGAGACACCTCCAGCTCTCCTGGCTCTCATGGCCAGTAGGGCTTACGCTTGTGGTCCCACAAGACTATCTATATATTGCATACCTTAAAAAGTTGATGCCTGAGGGTCTGGCTTCCAGTCAGCTGAGATCCTCCCCTCTGCAACACTGACTGATTTGGCACATCCTGAACTACTGGGAACTATTAAAAATATAATAGGCTGATTGGACAAGCAGGATGGTTTGAACAAAGAGCTGGGGGAGGGCTGAACAATAAGGTTCATCTCTGACACAAGGCCCCTCCTTCAAGACTGTGAGAGGTTGTTGTTTCATCTACTATATAGAAACCAACACAGAGAGTCAAGCAAAGTGAAGAAACAGAGGAGTATGTTCCAAATGACAGAACAAGATAAAACCTCAGAGAAAAAACTTAAATAGAAATAAGTAATTTACCTGATAAAGAGTTCAAAATAATGGTGGTAAAGATGCTCATCGAAAATGAAAACACTAACTCAAAAAGATAAAAGTGCCCCTGTTTATTGCAGCATTATTTACAACAGTTAAGACATGGAAGCAACATAAGTATCCATCAATAGACAAATGGATAAGGAAAATGTGGTATATATACACAATGGAATATTACACAGCCATAAAGGATGAGATCATGCCATTTGAGACAACATGGATGGGCCTAGAGGGTATCATGCTAACTAAAAGTAAGTCAGATTGAGAAAGACAAATACCATATGATTCCACTCATAAGTATAATCTAAAAAAATAAACAGACAAAAGTCAAAATCAGAACCATAAATAGAGAGAGCAAACTGATGGTTGCCAGAGGGGAAGACAGTGGGTGGTTGGGCAAAGGAGCAGGAGATACAGGGCTCCAGTTATGGAATGAGTAACTTAGAGGAATAAAAAGCAGAACATAAGGAATACATCGTTGATATTATAATAGCTATGCAATAGGACAGATGGTAGCTACACTTGTGAGCAGAACATAATGTGTAAAGCTGTCAAATCACTAAGTTGTATACCTGAAACTAATGTAACATTGTGTGTCAAGAAAACAATGAGTTTTCTTGAACTGTTTGAAGGAGGCAGTTTTCAGGATAGTTTTTCTGACTTCACAGATTTTTAAAATTGCATTTAAATTAAAAAAAAAAAAAGATGCTCACAGAACTGGGAAAAAAAAAATGTACGAACACAATGAGAACAAAAAGATGGAAGATGTAAGAAGATACTGAACAGAAGTCACAGGGTTGTCGAATACAGTAACTGAACCAAAAACGCCCCAAGGGGGTTCAATAACAGACTAGATGAAAAAAAAAGAATCAGTCAACTTCAAAACAAGGCAATAGAACCCAGCCAAATCAGGATAGCAAAAAGAAAAAAAGAATGGAAAATCTGAGGATAGTTTAAAGGACTTACTGGACAACATCAAATGAACTAACATTTGCATCATAGGGCTCCCAGGAGAAGGGAAAGGGGGAGAAATCTTATTGGAAGAAATAATTTCTGAAAACTTCCCTAACCTGGGGAAGGAAACAGACATCCAGATCCAGGAAGCTCAGGAAGTTCCCAACAAGAGCAACCCAAAGAGACCCACACCAAGACACACTGTAATTAAAATGTTAAAAGTTAAAGACAAGGAGAGAATATTAAAAGTGGAAAGAGAAAAACAACTTATTACAGACAAGGAAGCCCCACAAGGCTATCAGCAGACCTTTCAGCAGAAACTGCACAGGCCAGGAGACGGTGACTATATATTCAAAGTGCTGAAAGAAAAAAACCCTCTACACAGCAAAATTATTCAGAAGTGGAGAGGAAATAAAAAATTTTCCAGACAAGCAAAAGCTAAAGAAGTTTATCACCACTAAACTAGCTTTACAAGAAATGTTAAAAAAGACTTCTTTACACTGAAAAGAAAGGGCACTAATTAATTACAAGAACACATATGAAAGATTACATCTCACTGGAAAGATACACATATAGTAAAGGTAGTGGATTAATTATGTCTAAAGCTATTAAGAAGGTTAAAAGACAAAAGAAATTACCTAAAACTACAATATTTGGTTACAGGATACAGAAGATAAAAAGATGTAAAATGTGACATGAGAAACTATAAAGTGTGGGTGGGAAGAGTAATTATCTTGAGCTTTACAATGGGATAAAACTTAAATTGTTATCAACTTAAAATAGACTGCAACAGATAGAACTTGTTATATGCAAGCCTCATGGTTGCAAAACAAAGCAAAAACCTATAGTACATATACAAAAGATAAAGAGAAAAGAATATAAGATACCACTAAAGAAAGCCATCAAACCACAAAGGAAGAGAGCAATGGAAGAAAGGAACAGAGAGGAACTACAAAAACTGCCAGAAAACAAGTAATAAAATGGCAATAAGCACAAACCTCTCAATAATTACTTTAAATGTAAATGGACTAAATGTTCCAATCAAAAGATACAGAGTGGGTGAATGGATAAAAAAACAAGACCCATCTATATGCTACCTCTAAGAGACTCGCTTTAGATGTATGGACACATAGACTGAAAAAGAAGGATGGAACAAGGGATTTTCCATGCAAATGGAAACCAAAGCTGGCGTATCTATACTTACATCAGACAAAACAGACTTTAAAACAAAGACTGTGATAACCGACAAAGAAGGGTGCTACATAATGGTAAAAGGGTCGATCCAACAAGAAGATGTAACATTTGTAAATACTTACGCACCCAACATTGGAGTACCTAAATATAAAAAGGAAATATTAACAGACCTAAAGGGAGAAATAAGACAGCAATACAATAACGGTTGGGGACTCTATTACTGTCAACAGTTTGAATAAATTACCAAAAGCACAAGAAAATAACAGGCTAATTTCCCTGATGAACATAGACGCAAAAATCCTCAACAAAATACTTGCAAACAGAAAAACTCAATAATACATTAAAACCATCATGTACCATGAG